GACCTACGCCCAAACAAGCGACGTAGGAATCTACAGGCACCCAGCCATCAACACAACAGGGATTTACGACCCCAAACAAGTGACCTACGCCCAAACAAGCGACGTAGGAATCTACAGGCACCCATCCAACAAAACAACAGGGATTTACGACCCCAAACAAGTGACCTACGCCCATACAAGCGACGTAGGTATCTACAGGCACCTAGCCATCAACACAACAGGGATTTACGACCCCAAACAAGTGACCTACGCCCAAACAAGCGACGTGGAAATCTACAGGCACCCAGCCACCAGGATATACCCGGCCCGTGGATGTCAATTTGACCATTTCCAGGTCAAATATGAAAACAATCGAAATAGATGACAAAATAATGAAGCCAAGTGATATAAATGAATTGAGAAGCCAACAAAACGACATACAGGAAACCATCGAGGATTTTCACTGGAAGAAGGTGGTTCATCACTCAATTCTTATTAGCACCACAACGTGTGTCATACTTGTTGGCTCCCTATTAACAACCTTCTGGTGCATCTGAAGGTTTAGACGATGCAATACGCAAAAAAGGTGGACCAACCAATGGAACTAACCAGTACCAGGCCCATTCAAGGAGCAGTCTCCCTCGACGTACTGAGTCCATTGAGAGCTGACGACTAGGGAAATTACCATTGAATCTCAGGGACACTCTGCTGGTGGTCGCCAATATGTTTAATTAAAAATTAAACAGAAAAAATTATTAATAGAATTTGAGTTTAAAAAAGGTTACTATCAAAAATGCAGGAATGTGCAAAGTTGCGTATAGCAGCAAGTGATTAAACGAGAACACCTTACGCAGCAGTGCACCAATTGCGGCAACCAGCAGTTCCACAACAAAGATGCATATGTTTTTTGTTATTGTTGTTTAATTGTATATATTGTTTTATTTTAAATGTTTAGAACTACTGTTTTGTTTATATTGTAAATTTGTATATAACTCAATAAGTTTTTAATAAAAATCAGTTCCAAAACGAATTCCAATTTGGTTTTATTTTGGTATCTGAACATTGTTCATTAAGAACTGGGAAATGAGCAAGATCAATGATCATCCTTGTACTCGCCCAGTGATTGGTGCACACAAATGTTATTTAGTTTTTTATAATTTATATTAAATATACAATTCCTACGTTGTGTGTTGTTAATGTTCTCCCTTTCACACGTGTTAACAATTTGTAGGATAGTTGGACGGTGATCTCATATCGTAGCGTTAATAACTAATGGTAATAAAAAGAAGTTTTTATTTTTTTCTTTTAAAAAAAATATGATGTAGACAAGCCGATTCTCTGGTAGGTATATTAATTAAGGATTTAAAACCAAATTCACTCATTATATGCTGGTAATTGGAGACATCTTTATTAATTTTTAAAGTGTCTAGTTTTATATCCCCAGTAATAATGTGGTAAGCATCTGCATTTTCGTTGTCGTTGAATAGATATTCCTGCAACTCTCTTAAAAATACTTTGACGTCTGTTGATGGTGACCTATAAATGCAGGATATTTTTAGAGATTTGTTGTTAAAGTTTATTTGTAATAGCTGAGTGTAATTAAATTGCATTATTCTATAAGAGTAACCAAAATTATTTTTAATATATATATATAATGACACCATCATTTTTATTACATTGGCTATCATTGTATAAAAGTGTGTAGCCAGGGATGCTGTATAGAGAGGTGTCTCCAACATATTAAGTCTCAGTGAGGACAATATAGTCCAATTCGACTTTTATGCTGCTTAAGTAGACAATAAGTAGGTCAAAATTTTTTGATATCCTTCTAATATTAGTGTGAAACAAAGAGATATTGGTTAACCCTGAGTTTACTCCAAGTACCTCGTTACATTCAGTGGTGCTATTCAAAATGTATGTTTGTTCATTAGATTCTGCAAAGTCTCGTATATATGGGTCCATTTTATTCTAATTATTAAAAATAATGGAACGTATTTACACTTAAAAATATATACTTATGTACAACAATAAATAAAAATTGCGGTATAAAGCAATAAAGTACTAAACTACAAAAATTATAACACATTGATTAAAATTGATTAAAATAGTAATACAAAAATAAGAAAAGTTTAAAAGTAATAGCACTAAATAAGAAATAAAATGTAAACGTATATGTGTGAACAAATAAGAATAAGAGGTTAAGATTAACACTAAGTAAGTTACAACAAATTAAAATAAAAATTGTACAAGAAGCATTTGTTTAACCTTTTTATTTCTGGTTGACCTTTTTTGAGGAGGCTCTTCTTGTGAATTTTCATGCTTGCTGATCTGAATGTGTCCTTTTATTATTTTTTGTGTTGTTTCATCAACGTTTAGTTCTTTTTGTTCTGTTCTATAATTGTAATTATCTTCTTCGTTGACAGATGTAATGTAAATTTTATCTTCTTCTTTCAGTATATCTTCGTAGGTGTACTTTTTGTTGTGTACAAATAGGACGTTATTTTTTATTTTTGCTTCTTTTTTATTTTTCCTTGCTTTTTTAAGATATTTATACAAAAGTTTTTGTTTAATATAGTCCTCCTGTGTAAGTTCTTTGGTTATTGTTATACATGTACCCTTTAGTTTCTTTGCGTTTTTTAATATTTCTACTTTCTGTTCGTAATTTAAAACTTCTATTATAATTGTACGATGTTTTGTAGTGTCTGTTAACTTTTTCCCAATTCTGTAGACGTCTCTGAAGTCCTGGAATGAGCTCAAGTTTTTTGTTAAGGAGATCTAAAAGACTTTGAATATCTTCCCTACTATCCTCCAATTCCTTTAATAATTAGGATAGTATTTTCTTCTTTTAGTGTTTTAACTTGTTAAGTTTATTTTAATTGAACTTATTTAAAGTTTAATTTCTTCTTTAAATTCTTGATTTTGTTTTAGAATCTCACATTTTTTATAATAAGTGTTTGTAGCAATTTAATAATGGCATCATTTATTTTTTCCATTTCCATATTTATTTATATATTTAATAGCTGATCCGTGGCTCATCGGTAACGCACCAGCCCAGCAATCAAGAGGTCTCCTCAAACCACGCACGTTGCAGATTAAAATTTTTGTCCAGATCTTGATTTTGTTTTTTTACTTAGTTGTTCTTATAGTCTTTTTTATGTTTTTTGGTTCATATTGCGGTTAAATTTATTACTTTATTTTAATTTAATTATTAATATATAGAAGTAGATTAGTTTATTTTTTATTTATGCACTCGTCAACTTAGAGACCGTATTATACAACGAAATTTCAGGTCAGTACAGTTTTCAACGTAATGTTCAGGAGCACAATTAACAATGTTACTTCACTGAATACACAATAATAAATTGGATGAAAATGTAGATTAATCTGTATGTTTAAATGTAATTTTTTTTTTCAAAGAAATAACGAAGTTATAAAGATTTTTGGTTTATTTCGAGAAATAAATTATGTATTTTTTTTATATTACAACGTGGTATATAGTTGGTGCGCCATTTTTCGTACACACTTTATAAAGGTGCGGTTTTGCTTTAGCATTTGGCGGTAGCGTCTGTCGGTAACAGTGGTATGTAACCATGATACAATGTATCATGGATGTAACGTACTGCTTCAATCCATTTTATATAAAATGGATGTATATTGCTGGTTTGGTTTAAGCGTCTGACGCGCGGCTGGTACGCAATCCCATCTAGACTGCTTGTAGTAGCATTATATCCATCTATATTCATCTAAATTTAGATGTTTGGTAATTATAATTCGGTAATAGCCTTTGGTACATATTGTTTTAAATAAAGAAACAAGATTTTTGACGTTTTTTGATAAAAGAAGTAACTCTTGTTCCATAACACTGCATACAAATATTTTTTGTTCGATAGTTGGCATTTTGAAAATATTTTGTAAAACAAAGTTTTTACTGTGACATTTTTTGTCATACATAGGTAGGGTTCACAACTTCTGTAAAAAAAATCCGGGACATTTAGTGTAAATTTACCTTTATTACAAAAATAACACAATCAACAATATTCAAGTAACGTCATTGTATTGTATTGCTAATTTTTGTAATTAATGTAAATTCACACAAAATGTCCGGTTTTTTTTTACATAAGTTGGGAACCCTATACATAGTTAAAGGATACGAAAAATAAGGTACAAGTATAAATAAGAAATTGAATTTTAAAAGAAAAATAAAATTTGGAATACTGAGTTGAAATTTTACAATAAGTTTTTCAATAGGATTTAACATCTTTTTTTTTATTTGTCACTTTGCTCCAAAACGAAAAATTTAGGTACCTAGTTTACTCTTGATAGTATTTCAGGTGTTCGTGTTTTTGACCCTCCTGTATAATATTTTGGTATTAGTATGGCAATAGACTTTTCAAAACAAGCATAACTTTTGGTCAAAAAATTAAAATTTTAGTCCTTTTCAGGTGTTCGTGTTTTTGACCCTCCAGTTTAATATTTTGGTATTAGTATGGCAATAGAATTTTCAAAACAAGCATAACTTTTGGTCAAAAAATTAAAATTTTAGTCCTTTTGTCCTCTTGGGCCCTCTATCCGTAGATATACTGTATATGAATATAAGCGACGTAGATCCAGACGATATGTGTTTTAAGCAGGTTGGCGCTATTTTTCATACTGCCCAAGAAATAATTGACTGATGAGGACTCTATTCAACGATATTATATAGCGAAATTGACCAGTGACTTCTCCACTGAGATCGTGTGTTTGGCGCCACTCGATTACTTATTATGGTATTGTACTGAACGTTGGTATGTGCTACACATTGGTATGTACTGATAAATCACAAACTATTTAGAACAGCCAATATTCAGCGCGTGATTTGCTTTCAAGGTGCACTCACAGCCAAAGAGGCCATACGCCACAATATCAGACAATTTTTCATAATAAATTAAGATTTTTGATTAAAACTCAGTTACTGTCATTTTTATTTAAAAAGTAACTTTTATTTCTCTTAAAAACCCATTTATATCTATAGTTATTTTTAGGATGAATTATCAGGCAGTTCAATACTAGATTCCAAAAGAAATGCACTTCAAGCTGCATCCAAACAATGGAAAACAAGAATAAAAAAAACAGATGCACTTACGTTTTCTGTAAGTGGCCGAATGAATAAAATGGATGTGCCGGAAATTAACATAGAAAAAAAATCTAATACACCACAGCCCAGACGATATAAAGGAGGTAAGAATGTGTTATTATTAATAAATTGTTAATACCTTATTAATTTAAATCGGATTTTTCTACAGTGTGTCCCTGATCGGGTTGCCAATAGTAAGAACTTTTTATTATGCACTTATACGAAAAAAGTCATTCTTTTTAAAAAAAACCGCTTGTTTAAAAAACGAGTCTCCCATTAAAATTTTTTGAACCAAATTTGCAGGGTGCTCAGAAATAAAGAAACATGCTTTAAGAGAGAAGTACCCTGCGTTTTACAAGAAGAATAATTCTTTATTAAACCTTAAAAAATTAGATTCTCATACAAAAACTTGAATTAAATGTACAGGGCAGGAGTGTCAATTACGAACCATTTTTCCAATCCCAGAACTTTCAGGACCAAAATATAAATCTTTTATTTTAAAACCAATTTAAAATAAAGTTATAAACAAACTAACGAACATATAGGACAGTTTAAAAAAAATCTAAAATAAACGAACAAATAATATCTTTCGGACTTCATACTAGTTGGAGGAAAGGTTTTCAAGAATTCGAGGGCACATTGTACCCCATCAACAAATAATTTAATTTTTTCTATCAATCGGGCCTTGGTGAGTTCCAATTAAGGCTGTAAAACTTCAGAAGATATTTTCCCTTTGGTCGTATAATCTCCGCGATGGAAACCTCCTCATCATCGCTATTTTCTTTTCTATCAAAAAAGTTTTTCCCATTCATGTTTAATTTTTGTTTTGGAACAGTGTTGCCACATTACATTTGTACCTTTTTGGTACATATGGTGCTTTGGTGACACAGAAGTACTACAACCACTATTTTCGTACATATTTTCATGAAATTTTTAAATTTTGATGAAATATTTTGCCTATTTTCAATAAAGTTGCTGCTTTGTTTCTCTTAATTTACAGTCATTTTCTAGTATTCAGCTTTCCGTCTTACAACAGCTTTATTAAAATCTCTATCTTTAATCATTTTATTTTTATATTCGGCAACACCACGCTATATTTAATTTTAGGGGAAAAACGAAAAGCCCAAAAGCGTTTTGTTTATTTCATTTAAATGGAAGGTACATTTCAGGAAAATTTGGTACATTTTAAAATTCGAATATGCTACTTTATTTTTCCACTGCTGGCAACTCTATTTTGGAACCATATTTTGCATTTTACATGTACGGGGTAAATAAATAATAAAATAATTAACAATTAATGCCATGAATTTATTCTGTACTGTAATTTTACGTTTTCTTTGCTTATTTTAGAAAAAGAAAATACATATATTTAGTACAGGTACAATAAAAAAAATGTTCAATAAATATGTTAAAATACACTTAAATGTTAAAACATTTGTGTGTGTAGATATTTTTTAGATATAAAAACTAAGTAAACATCAACTATAGACCAAATATCAGACCAGACCACAATAAAATTCCAATTATGAACCTAATTAACTTAATTAAATAAATAACACTAACTTACTATACTAAAAGCCGTAGAGGCTTAAAATGAAATGCGGTAAGTTTAAATATAATTAAACACTTAAAAAATATACTCTCTTAAAATGAATTAGTCAAAAATAACTAATTATAAGTCATATTTGACTAATTGTCATAGTGAAAAAGCAGTCACTAATAATTAGTCAAATTCCACTGAATGAAATAGTCAAATTAGTAAATTTAAATTTAAAAAAAGTTTTGACCCAGCCTGAGATTGAACTCAGGTCTGTCACTTGACAAGTTTGTCAAGCTAACCTCTTAACGCATTCGGCTGTCAGCCGCTCTTATAAAAATTAATTTTATTTGTCAATAAATATTGTTCATAATATTTTAAAGTTTAATATATTATTTGTGTTGCTATTTTGAGCTAAACTTTTTGCATCTTTATTTGTTTTATGGGTCATTTAACCATGGAGAGGTATATGCATTTAATTCAAATAATTCTTTGTTGTTGGCTGTAAACGACTAAAGAAATTAGTTACTTTTAACTGTCAGAAATAGTCAAATATGGTGACTAATCTTAAATTAGTCAAACTTTAACTATTTACATAGTAAAAAATAACTATTTAAAAGTGAAAACGACTATTTTATTAGTAAAAAATGCTGGTACTAATTCAAATAGTAGAATTTTGACTATTTCATTTTTAGAGAGTATACTTGATTATGTGAGTATTTTCTTGGTTGTTGCATTATATACTTTTCAGGTAGGTATACTTTAGTACCTAAATAAATTAGACACCTTTGGCCAATGGTTTTATTAATTTTTGGAACTGCCATTTTATTGTTTTGTCGTGTATAACTTTTTTAGGTAAACTTTTCTTTTAGAATGGGATAAATCAAAATATTTAGGTAGAAAAATTGTCTAAAGTCCATTTTGCCAGAAATGAGAAAGACTTTATCTGTGAGGTGCGTTATTTCGACGTTATAAATAATTTTTAGAATTCTTTTTGTGTTAATTCCAGATCCCTTATATGATTATTTAATACACCACCCCAACCATATCTTATCCACAAGTGCATTATAGATTATATTAAGCTGGGGGATTATCAAGATTGATTTTAGTAATTTAAAATAAGGAATAATACATCTTACCTTTTTGTAACTTGTTTCACCTGTTGATCCCATTTTAAATGAGGATCAAGAGATATACCTAGGTATTTTTCTGATTCGATCATATTAATTACAAAGGCCATAAAATTAGTTTTTTCCTTATTTATTATTAGGATATTATGATCAAACCATTCCTTGATAGCTATAAAACCTTTTTTAATTAGGTTTTTTAACGATATTCATGTGTTTTCCTTATATAAGACTATGGTATCGTCTGCAAAGCTTAGTAATTTCCCTTTGTTTTTTACTCTATTCAAGTTGTATAGACCCCTCAAGTAGTTAGTAAAAAGTTTCAAAAGGGCTCCTCTAACACCGATGCTACGAGAGCCCTGCACCAAAACTGTGCCGCGTACAGTGCCTGCGACGTCCCCACTCCACAGATCAGCCGCCGTACACTAGCCCTCGGCTTCCCAACGTTTGGCATCAGCCGCGTCAGGCTGTTGACCGTCTTTTCAACTCTTAACACTGTCCTCGTTATGTGGGCACACATGCTCCACCCGCGTTCAATCCATACTCCCAGGTACTTTAGCATGGGACACGACCCTGCATCCACCAATACTCATTTCCAACACCGGCATGCTCCTCTGTCCAGCAAACACCACAATCTCCGTCTTGTGAGCGGCCAGGCAGAGACCCGCTCCGTTGAGCCACTCTATGATGGTATTCGCAGCATAGTGCAGCCGTTCTTCCAGCTGCTCTCTTGTCCTGACCGCTCCTACCATCGCCAGGTCATCCGCATATCCCAACAGGGTGATACCTTCCGGTAATGGCAGCTCCAGCACAGGGTCATACATAATGGTCCACAGTAACGGCCCAAGAACGGAGCCCCATCTGCAGTTGCTCCTGCCCCACGTCAACTGATCTGCCCTGCAGGTATGACGCCACTGCCCTAATCAGATACACGGGTATCCTCCAGCGGACCAACTGCTCCATTATCACCCCCCATTGCGCCGTGTTGAAGGCATTCTTCACATCCAACGTGACCAGTGCGCAGCGTTTCCTATTTGTGTGTGAAACTTGCCTTACACTGTCCACTATTTCCGCCAATGCCTTCAGCGCAGTCCCCGTGGATCTTACAGGTTGAAAACCATATTGTCTTTCCGAGAGGTCGCCCCCCGCCACAATCTCCTTCCGCAGCCTGGCCACTAGTATCTGCTCATACAGCTTTCCTGCTGCATCCAACAGGCACAGCGGCCTGTAGGCGTCCTCCCCTGTGACCGTCTGTTTTGGAATAAGCACCAGCTGCGCTCTTTTCCACGCCTCGAGGTAGCTGCCTGTGCGCAGCAGCTGCGTCATTACTGCCGGAGTCCATCCAGGGGCCGCCTCTACCGACCACTTAACTACCTCTGACGAAATCCCATCTGGTCCCGGGGCCTTTCCTGCTGCCAGCCTGCGTGCTGCAGCTGCTACCTCCCCCTCTGACACAGCTGGGACTTCCTCCACCGTTGCCGCCGGGTAGGCGCTCCACACCCGCAGGGAAGAAGGTCCTAGCCCACCTCATCTTCTCCTCCTGTTGCATGCCCTGTGCCCTGATTCCCAGCCTCCTCATAACTATCTGATAAGCCTTACCCCAGACGTAGGTGTCCACTTGCTCCAGCAGGCTCCGCCAGCATTTAGTTTTAGACCGGAATATCTCATCCCTAAGGAGCTTCTTTCACGCCTTTAGCTTCGCTGCTAATGCCCCTACCTCTTCCGCCGATGCATTCTTACTTCTGGCCATTGTAAGTGCCCTGCGTGCACTGTTACAGCAGTCCCTGGTCTCCTTAATTTTGTCTGACCACCAATATTTTGCCTTTCTGCCCTTTCTACTGGGGGCGGGCCTGAGCACCAGCCAACATGCTTCATTTATCGCGTCAATGCGTCAATCCAGGGGGTTACGTCAACCTACCCCCCCTTGTGCACTCCTTGATGACCTCAGTAATGCCCTCCCTGTCTGCGTTTCTTGCCGTCCATCGCTGCTGGCCCTTTGTAGCCTCCAAATGATAAAAAAACTGGGCTTATTGCCCTAGCAAAAGGCGGGTCATGTGGACCCTCTGCCTTTACTTTGAGGAGGGGTTGTGCTTGGGTGGGTTGGAGTTACTATAGTATAGTAGTTTGGAATTAGGTAAATAAGAGAGGTGGGGAAGTATGGGTCCGCCAGCGGCCTTAACTTTATCTAGCAGGGGAATGGGAACAGACTGACTATAATAAGCCAGCCGCTCCCATCGTCTGCATGTGAAAAGTCTGAGCAAATGAACGTGAAGCTGGAAAAAAAGTTTTTGATTAGGGAGTTCTAGGGAGGTCTATTATCATGTAGATAATCCTCTTGTATTTCTCTTGCGCCTCGGTATAGTCTGCGGTCGGCTGGATTGTAGTTGATAGAGTTACGAAGCGCCCTGTTCTGAATTGCATCAGCACGCTCTAACGTGGA